TTCCCTAAGGTGATTTCCAAGGAGGGAAGAGTGGAAACCACAGCTGAGTCATACAGAACATGATGGTATGTGAGGTCCCAGGGCCACCAGTTCTCTGTTAGAAGATGTCCATGGATGCCCATGGAGCTGGGGGTGCTCATAAGCTGGGGAGGTGCCTGAATTTGGGTGCTGTGGGCATGGAGCAAGAAGGACATCTTGTTGCTGGCTAGGAATGGCCTGGGGGCTGGACATCAGCGTTTTCATTTCAGAAGGAGCTGGCTCTGCCCTTGCCCACAGCTCCGCCATCCAAGGGCAGGTCGGGGCTGTGGTTCTGCTCCTTAGATCCAGGTGTTACCGGATCATCCACATTTGACCAGATCAAGAGAGGCCACGTAACTGCATTTCTGACAAATTACCTCCAGCACTTGGGGTTTATGTAAAGCGCGTGTGTTTAAGCCTGGCTCTGCGCCAGCTGCGGAGGGACTCAACGTAAAGTGAGAGTGGTGCAACCAGGCGAAGACTCCGGCCGGACAACGCAACGCCAGCAGGACCTCATCGGACCAGGTTTATACCAGGTCAGCGCTTTGCTTTATGTGGCTGCAGCTTTTCTGAGCCCTAACGATGGGTTTACAGCGTGGGCAAACCCCAGCCACCAGGAAATTCTGCCTCGCTTTAACCTCCCATCTCTATTTTAACCTTCAGACTACTTCCCACCCTGCATCTACCAGCCCTAGAGCTGAACAAGCTCTGGGTGAATGGGGACACAGATGAGCTGGTGCTCAGCCTCCTTCTGTCGTCTTTTTTTTCCTGTTTTGGGGTTTTTTTTTTTCATTGAATGGGGGCTAAAATTAGCTCAGCAGGAGGTGAAGACTGGAACATTTTAGCTAAAGCTGCCATAGTATTGAAAAGCCACAGTTTTGCTCATTATTTCCCAGCTTTCTGACTGCAAACCTGGTCTTTTATTTTGATAAATGAATGCAAGTAAATATCCCATAAAATAAAGTATTCTGCAAGATGTTTCAGCTCATTCCCCAGACAAACACTGTAACGTTGGACCTGGAAGGCCATGGCCAGCTGAAGGTCCAGCCAGCTAAACACGTCTCCAGCCATGGTGAGGGGTAGTCACATAGAAGAAGGTGTAAAACGGGGTGTGTGGAGGATATCCCAGGCCCCGCAAACCCTTGCTGCACCTTGCAAATGATACAACAGCCCAGCAGCACTGCGCCCATCATGAGGGGACCTCCACAGCCAGCCTCTGGGCTTTGCTGGATCATTGTTCATCTTCACATTATCATCGAATGGTTTGGGTGGGGAGGGACCTTGAAGGCCATCTAACCCAACCCCCCTGCAATGAACAGGGACATCTTCAACCCCATCAGGTTGCTCAGAGCCCTGTCCAACCTGACCTTCTCTGGAGATATTCAAAGCCCGCCTGGATGAAGTCCTGTGTAACATGCTCTAGGAGAACCTGCTTTAGCAGGGGGCTTGATCTCCCAAGGTCCCTTCTAACCCTTGCCATGGCATCCACCACCTCTCTGGGCAACCTGTCCCAGTGCCTCACTACCCTCAACATAAAACATTTCTTCCTTCTATCCAGTCTGAATCTCTTTTAAGTTTCAAACCATCACCCCTTGTCCTATCACTACAGGCCCTGCTAAAAAGTCCATCCCCATCTTTCTTCTAAGCCCCCTTTAAGCACTGAATGGCTGCAGACAGCTCTGCCCACAGCCTTCTCTTCTCCAGGCTGAACAACCCCAACTCTCCCAGCAGAGCTGTTCCAGCCCGCTGACCATGTTTGTGCCCCATTTGTATTTTGGAAGCTGCTGTGAAGACTGTTCATTTAGGGGTACAGCATTCCCATCCTCTGCTTTCAGTTCTCAGAAGGAGCAACAGTTTGTAGCCTCTGTATCTCACAAGTGGAAATCCTAAGAAACAGTGAGGTCAAATGATTTGGTCACATCCCATGGACTGATGAGCAGGGACAAGAACCCAGATCTTAATTCAAGGGACAACGTCATCTACGCTACAGTCTGGCTTCAGAGTTTTAAGCACCAGGATACGGTACGTACCTCATGGAGTAAGGTGAAAACATCTGCAAAGTATCTCTTTTAAACTCTTCAAGTCCTCTGGTGTGCCCCTGTGGCTTGTTGCTACTTTGGTGTCATGCATCAGGGACAAAACTATCACCTCATCTCTTCTGGGTGAAGACCCATGCCTAGCTGCCAGCACAACAGCTTGGAGGTGGGAGAGGTACGAGTGAGCCCAATATTCCCTCTCTTTTGGTTACTCCAGAGTAAAAGCCAGCTTCTCAGCTGGCCATAAACCTAGTGTGGCTGGTGGCTCCTACACTTGGAGGGATCTTTCTAACCCCAGGTCCCTACTGCCTGCACAGCCCTGCTCCCACAAATAAACACTACAAAAGTTTGGAGGAATTGACAGTTGGTTTTGCAATAGTCATTGGCTTCATTCTTCACCTGTAGAGCCTTCGACGGCGTGGTGGGTGTTGAGGGCATGGGCAGGAGTGCTCTTCCTTGAACTTCTGACGCAAGCCATCAATGTTAGCGTGGCTGCTGGACCACGAAGGCATAGTGCAATTACTGGATATTTCAAGTCTGCCGGCACAGAATGGAAAGGAAACGAGCCGAATTGTAGCACAGATGACGTTGTCTCAACTCGCACCTGAAGGATGAGAAGCGAGAGCCTGGAAGTTGAAACTCCCATTCAAACCTCACACATGATCAAAAGCCATTTTGAAGCTGGTTCATGGGCTCAGTGACATGAATCTAACTCAAGGCACAGTCCGTTTAGAGCAAACCAAATACTCTTCTCTCGATAAATCCCTCTGGGTTGGGCACATCTCCGTTGAACAGAAACACACGGCGCTGAGTGAACCTGCTCACAAAGCCTGACCTACTGCCATGGCCATCCACCACGTGAATGACAGCAGAGGCTGGAAGTCACATCCCTGGGGTCCAGGCACTTTGGCAGGGAGGGGGGGGTTATAAGCCCATCTGGACCTTCTGCTTCTCCAAATCCTTCAGTTACCAGGACTCTGGTGGTTTCCACTCAAGATCCCTCTTCACAAAAGGCAGGAACCAGCTGTAGGGACCTTCTCCCTGCAGAGGACATGTGCAAGCGGGATGCGGCAGCATGGAGCAGTGAACAGGGGTAGCAGGACAAAAGGAAAAGTAACTTTTATTTCCAGAGGCATGAGAGATGAAGGGGGCAGGAAATAATTGAGGAAAACCCACCGAGGACCGGCTTTCCTCTCTTCTCCTCAAATTTTCCTCCTTGCCTGGTGGCATAGGCCACCCGTGTCCCAGCACAGAGCAGAAGCTTGGCCTCCCCTGGTATTTCAGGGACTGGGTCAGTGTTGAACGGGAGCTGGGTCCCTAGCATGGGGGGGTCTTTCAAGTTGAAATTCTGAGAAACAGAAGAACAACAGACGCCAGCAAATTTGTGCAACCTGCCCAGACCCGGCCAGCCCCTCCAGACGTGGGCTGATCGGGCGCATCCAAACCGGGGAGCCCAGAGCCACGTGCACCCCATCATCCCAACGCAGCCCAAAGCTTGGGAGTGCCCCTGGCTCGGTGCTCCCCATGCCAGAGCGGTCCCACCACACGGGGCTGGGGCCGGTGCCCCCAGGTACCCGCTGAGGGCAGCATCTCTCCAGCCTGCCTCATCCCCGCCACTGAAAAAGCCACTCGGCACAGCCTGGGATCAAGTGTACGTTTTTATTTTTTAATGGAACATAAACTCCTTTAGAAAAAACATTCATCTGGATGATAACACCCATAGAAAAAAACACCAATCTCGTGTTCTTTTTTTTTTTTTTTTTTTTAATTTGGCATTTGTTATTTGCATTTATATTAAAGCAAAGTGCATCTTTCTTATTTTTTTTTTCTCGTTTATACACATTGCACAATACATAAATAATGATGCTTATAAAACGTCTTTATATTTACAAGTAATAATATATTTATATATAACATAAAATACATTTTTTTTTCTTTAATAAATCTCAGGGGTTTTTTTTAAGGAGTCCTTTTTTTTGTGTGTGTGTGTGTGTTTTATTTCCAAAGCACTACGATGCTAAAGTTCCAATGAGAATGCTCTCTTGTTCATTTAAACCTTTATATTTAGAAAAATAGCTTATGTTAAGGTCTAAACATGCTCATTGAGCTAAGAACAGTGTAAAAGTATCATACTCGTGTATGAATTCAAGAAGAAATGAAAGCACAACTGCATTTCCAGATGGGATGGTACCGGGATAACCTGACCTAAGCAGGTTACAACAGACCAACAACCGTGAACACTTTCTCTTTCGTTTTCCCATTTGTTTTTCATTTTGTTTTGTTGGTTTGGTTTGGTTTTGTTTTGTTTTGAGGCTTAGGCTTCTGTTGCTTCGCATCTCAGCTCAAATGATCAAGCGCGGGGCCACGCACGAGGTTTCTCCGCTGTCGTTTTCTCCCCTTGCATCAAGCCATGACCATTAAAAAAAAAAAAAAAAAAAAAAAAAAAAAAAAGCAGTGGAAGGATGAACACAGTGACAAGACGTGAACCCAGCAACAAGGAAAATAAAATAAAAATTGAAAGGGTGGGTAAATCCCGGTTGGGAAGGGTTTGCACCATCCTTCGGCGGCAATGGGGGGGTTAGCACCGCTGGGGAAGGGGTCTCCGGTGTCACCGTCACCGGCAATGGCTGGCAGCAAGGGGAAGGTGGTGTGTAAAAAATACAGGTATCTCGTTTTATCCAAGGAGCTGTAACATATAGCAAGTGACTTCCGAATCCATCCATCACATAGGATAATCCTTTCAGAGGCGTGAAATAATTATCGTATGCAATTCGCAACCCCCACACACCCTTCTCTCGCCCTTCTGAGTTATTGGTCATTCCCACTTTTAAAAAATAGATATAATTATCAAAATACCCAAGGCAAAAAAAAAAAAAAAAATCTTTCCATAAGCTATTTCTCAAAACAGGGAAGGGAGGGGGGGGGGCGGAACAAACAAAACAAAACGAAAACAAAAAGTTTGCATGAAAAGCAAGCACTCAGAAGGAAATAATAGCAGCAAAGTAGTATAAATGTCATGAGTCCACTCTGTCTCGAGTCATCGGTTATTAAAAATAACCTCCAACCAGCACGGGCAACTGCTGATAAACTGTCTCGTGTAGCACTGGCCCCAGCCTTTCACAAAGCTGATCTGAACAGTAAATCCGGTCCATGGTTGCTGCATGAACTCATGGTCGTTGGGTCTCTGTAAGCTGTACGCCTTCTCGTAGTCAAAAGCCTTGATGGAAAAACCTGGAAACACTTTGTGAACCAGCAACGTCCTGGAGTCGGGGTTGTCCAGTGTGGCCGACTTGATGAAGATGGGGTAACTGCTGCGGTTGTACACCCACACGCCGTCCACTTCCTTGGTGAGCTGGATGCCATAGCCAATCTTGCTGCGGACCTTCTGCACCAGTTGGCTTTTGTTGTCCGAGTTGAGCTGTCCGAGGCAGAAACCATTCCCCTGAGGTAGATCATAGAAGATATCCAGGGAGGGCTCTTGGACAGAGTACAGCCGACCCACACGCGTCTTCTCTTCCCAGTATGCCACCACGCACCAGTGTGACCGATCCCCCGGCTCCTGAAGAACTTGGGAATCTACAGAAGAAAAAAAGAAGAAATGTGAGCACCGGGGGCGGGTAATACAACCTAAAAGCGACACAACGCTGACAGGTCCTTGCCTGCCCATGTCTTCATGATGCTCTCCATGCACACACCAACGCCAATAGCACAACCACCGTTTCCAAAAGCCATGTGTTAAAGCCACTATTAGGAGCACATAAGTTGACACAGGTTTGGGGGATTCCCATGCTGCTTCAGCGCCTAGCTCTGGTTGAAGTTCTGGGTCCTAAATCACCAGGTCCACCTTCAGAAGTGGCTTGAGACCCACCAGCAGCACCTGTGGTGCAGCCATCCTTCACCCAAACCATCACTAGGACCACCTGCAGTGCCAACAGGAGAGATGAGATGCTCCAGCCAGCTGCATCCAGCAAGACCAAACACCCTAAAACCCCAAACACCCACCAGATGAAGGATCCATTTCCAGAAATAACTATTTGCTGTGCACGGATGCTGAAAAAAAATGAGGTGCTGCTAAGAAAAGCACATTGAAGGTCACCCCATGGGACCGGAGGGGACAAGGACTTGCCTGCTCCAGTTCATGGGGCTTTTCCCTGCCCATGGGCAGAGGATGAGGAGGATAGAGATATCAGATGAAGCTCCAACCCATGGGAAGCACTGTCAGAGAGTGGCAGGGTGGGGACCAGAAATCTCACGCTCATTAAAAAAAAAAGGCCTAAAAACACTCAAAAACCCCCAGAAATTCGTTCTTGTAGCCCTTCTTTAGACTCCCTTGCCCGTAGCTACCCGGTGCGAGCCGCAAGGATACGACGGAGAAGGAAAAGGCAAAGGGGGGGGCTGAGAAATGGGAAAAAGCCCTTTTTCCTGACGGAGGATCCCGAGCAGCCCGATAATTCCTTCCAGCCTCGGTAGGCATGTTAAGACCTGGGAACTATTCATCTCTGTAATAGTATTTTAAATATATATATATATTTTTAAAAAAAAAAAAAATCAAGCTGGGAATGCGAGTTACATGAGCGCTACCAAAATAATTCCCTGCACCATGGAAGCAGCTATGGGACCAGGGACGGTGGGGTGACCCAGCACCCCAAAGCATCGCCTTGGCAGCCCCCCCAAACCACCCCAGCATCAGCAACGGCAGCAACAGGCTGGCTGCCCCGTTTTCTCTCTTTTTTTTGCTATTAATAAGCCCGTTTCCCCAGCGCGGGGGTTTTTCTCCCGTCTCTGAGTTGTGCTTCAAGCCCTGCACTGTGCTTTTAAAAAAAAAAAAAACAAAAAACCA